ATATTTAATGTTTGTAACATTTTAATAAATCTAATCCTGCGATGTGACTATTGCAAATGCACACATTGCAATATCGATGCTCAAACGACATTGTGCAGCCCTATAAGATCATCACAACAGCTGAAATGACTGAATATAACTTTGCAGACATGAAGATAGATTCTGCCACACTATTCAGCTATACTCTTAAAAATATCCATGGTGAAAACTTTTAACACCTATAATAACTAACCTTCGCACAAAAGCATCTTAATAGCAGATAAAGGTTTTTCAGGCATTTAAAATGCCATCCACAAAAAAAATCTTTATTGGTTACAATATAATTTTCAAAGCAAAATGTTTTTGGGATAACCCCCAGAAATATTTTAGGATTTTATAAGTAAGTATTTCAATGGGTTAACTCTAAACACTAAACACTAAAAGGTTCTTTGGAGAACCAATTTTTCTTTGCTTGCCAATATAATCTTTAAATTTCAAAGCGCATTTGGGTTAAAACAAAAGGGTTTGTTTTACCTTTTAGTGCCAAAGATGGGATACACAGATGACTCTTCTGAAGAAAACATAATGATAATAATTAAAACATGATTAAAATATCATTTTCAGATAACTGTCTTAAAAGACACAGTATATGCATATATACTAATGCATGCAGTATTTTTGGATAAAGCTACACATTACATTTTAAAGATATTATTCACAGGGTTCCCACACTTTTATGAACGGCAGATTCAAGAACTTTTTGAAACACTGGTTCCCAAAGTGGGGGTCGGGACACCGTAGTGCAGTGGTCACCAAACTTGTTCCTGTAGGGCCGGTGTCCTGCAGATTTTAGCTACAACCCTAATCAAGCACACCTAAACAAGCTAATTAAGGTCTTGCTAGGTATACTTGAAACACCCAGGCAGGTGTGTTGAGGCAAGTTGGAGCTAAACCCTGCAGGGAGACCAGCCCTCCAGGACCAGGATTGGTGACCCCTGCTGTAGTGAGTCACGAGACACAGAAGACAATTCTTTGAAATCAATAATCTTTTGGATTTATTATAAAGTTAGAGGACTGACGAAATTTTTCAATTAACGGTAGCCCTTCGGATTACTAAAAACTTATGCGCATAAATGAGTAGGATAAGCTTTTTATTAGATAAGAAAATATGCGCATAAACTACGATGGAAACACTTTTACCGCACAAATGTCAGTATACGCATTAAAAAAAGGTCATGTGATTCTGTTATAAAAGATCATGTGATGATAAAAATGTGTGTGAATGGACAAACCAGCAGGCTGAGCACACTGTAAAACATTTGAAATGTTGTTTTGGTTGTTCTAAAACGCCGTAACAGATTTAATATTAGTGTTATTATACTATTATTGGCCTCCAGAATCAAGAGCGTCTGTGCCATTTATTAGTCATTTACTAGATAAAGAAAAGATTAACGCAGCTTCTCATACTGCAGCAAATTCAGTTTTTACTGTTGACATTTGGTGGCAGGTAATCAGGAAGTCACGATTTTGTTCGCTTTGACCTGTTGGATGGAAACGCTGCTTTATTCACACTTCTTTTATGCGATAATTCAGTTTTGCGCATAAAGTTCATTCGCATTCTTGGATGGAAACAGCTATTGGCTCATGAACATTTCCTGCTTGTTATCAAACTATTTCACAACTGTAACAAGGCAATTCAATCATAACGCAATGTTTAAACAGATATTGTAACATTATTTATCAATGTGTGGCTCTTTTTGGATTTTCTGAAGCTATACAAATGAAAAATGTAAAACAGGAATCTGTTGGGACCTTTGTTTTTGTTTACATCTAACAAAATGGTCTTTAAAGGCATTTCAATATGTTACAGAGTAGTTCACTCATTTCAGACCTGTTTGTGTTTCATTCTCTTTTAAAAAAACAGTTTTCTTTAAAATGTCTTTACCCGTATTTAACACAAAGAATAAAAACTCAACCAGGTTTGCCAGGCAGTGTGTATATACATTTAGGTACCCCGACTAGGAAAAAAATAATCCGATTTTGTAAGCTCCGAGTTCTGATTCCTTATTTAATTACGTTTATACACAGATAAATCATTAAAAGTTTATTTACCTTCATCATGAGAGCTATCATGATCTGGAAGCAGTAAATCACTCACATCAAACACCGAATCAGCTTCAGAAGGAGCGTCCTGGAAAACATTTTCAGCTTTAGAAGCAAAACAAACGAAAACTTTATTCACTATCAACATAAATTACCCAGTTCAATCTAACCTGGCTGCCAGTCTCAGGGCTCACAGATCTCCTCAAAACCACCCTCAGCTCTTTAGTGATGCCATGCACATCTGCAAGGACCTGAGGAGACATTGGCGCTTGTGTCGACTCTCTTTTATCATGGCTAACTTCCACTTCTGGCTGTTTTTTCAAGAAAACAGCACGGCGAACTGGGGAACGCTGTCCTGGTGCCGTCACCAATTCCTTCTCCCTCACCGGTTTCCGAATGCTGGGTTTTTCGTATGTTGGTTTAGGTTTTGTATTCTGTGCAGACTTCTTATACATTGAAGTAGGCTTTTTTCCAGTGTTGAAGAAAGCAGCGCCGACAACCAGCTTGGGTTTACCTTTGGACTTCATACTGCTGAATGAAATGGGAGCCATTGTGGATTTCAGCACTTGATCCGTTTGTTTATCTGACGAACTTTTTGTCGCTTTGGGCTTAGCCGTGAAGTAGCCTTTTAGGTTGGACTGTGGAGCAGAAGCTCTGGGTTTCTTCTGAACTTTCTTGGCTGGTTTTACAACCTGATTCGCAGCAGTCAAAGGAGGGCGTGACGGCTCTTTGTTAGTGACTGATGGTGGAGATTTGGCTTCTTTCAGCACTTTTCTCTCCAGAGGTGTGAGATACAGGGGTTTCTGCTTGCTGTAGAAGGTCCCTGCTCCCAGCACTGCTTTCCGTGGCGAGACTCGCTTTGGGGGAGATTCTAGCAAAAAGGCCCTCTGCGTCTTTTTAGGTGTGCTGGGAATCTTTTGGGGGGAATTCAGAGAAATGGGAATGTTTTCTTTTTGTCGAGTGGTCCTTCTTGGAGAACTCCTCAGGCTTGTTATTTGTTTCTTCGATGGATTACTGTGGTGGGGTTTTAAAAAATTTATATTTGTGTTACAAGAGCAAATATTTTAATATCTAATAAAAGTAAACTACACAATGTTACCTCTCGGCATCAGGAGAGCCATGTTTTCTCTTTCGGGATAACATCTTCAATCACCTAAAATGAGAAAACATTTTCAGATGTATCAGTATATAAAAAGAAAACAGATTATTTTGCTAATCTCTTTGTCGTAGAATGATCAGAATGCATACGTAGAAACATGTTTTAGACTTGTTTTTTAAAATATATATATATTTTTTTTTAAAAGTCTGAAAAAAAAAAATATATATATATAGAGAGAGAGAGAGAATCTAATTATAAATAAACATTTTCTATACATATTTGATGATACAAATGTAGATATGTAACAAAATAGTTTGGTATAGTTTTATTAATATGTATGCATCACGTATACATAATAAATATATATAATACATAGATTTATATTACGTCAAAAACTTATTTTGAATGTGATTAATTTTTGCCCAGCACTAATAAATATATAAACATAGACTGCATATGACGAGCTAATCTGCAGTTCAAGTGCTTTAGCTTGAGATAAAAAAGGCCAATTTACTACGTAACGTAATGGTAACACAACGTTACTTTTACTTGGTCTTTATAAGGTCTTCGAAGTCTTAACGTTAAATATTAACGTTACTTTATACAACCTGCAGAAACAGTGAAACACGTAAGTTAACGTCAGTTATCTGCAACTGTGAAAGAAACAAAACACTGTTTTCATGTCGAAATTACAGCTATGAGATTTGCATATGAAGTTTGACTTATACTTTATTATGTATACGATTTATAAGGTTACATCCTAAACATAGCTCTCTCACTTTTCCCGCAGTTCATTTCTAGGCGCCAACTAGGTGAACAGTACATAATCTCTAAGAATACACGTAGGTACCGTTTATCACAAACCCCATCAGATACTAACTTGAAAACAATACCTGTAGTAAACCACTTACCGGGTAGAATAGTACCAAATCTGGTTTTGAATTTACGTGAAAACACTGGAGCAAAATAACCGCGGCAAATCCTCTCAGCTTCACCCGCGGTCTGTTTTGAAGAACGCGCCAAAGTCAATTGTGGCGCACACGGAAGCGGAAACAGGGTTTGGAAGCATGACAACGTCCGGTTGGTGAAAATAACTATGATTCATCTGTGCAAATCGGTTCTTTTGAACAAGTATTTTCAATGAGCCGATTAGCGACCGACACAGAAAAGTTTCTAATCTATCTTTGTCAACTATTGTATTACGTTAAAACAGAATTAATTAACATCAAGATGGTGTGAAGCAGTTTATTCGTTGAGCCAAAACAATGCAAAAAGTGTATACAGGGTTTTCAGTTCTGTATTGGTAAATTGAATAAACTAAATTGACCGTGGTGTATTTGTGTGATTGAGTGTGTTTGGATGTTTCCCAGTGTTGGGTAGCAGAAGGATAGGCTATCCGCTACGTAAAACATAAGTTTTATATAAGTTGGCGGTTCATTCCGCTGTGGCGACCCCAGACTAACAAAGGGACTAAGCCGAAAAGAAAATGAATGAAGGATATATTCAGACAAATCAACATATCCTTCTGTAAATATATCCCTAATATAAATAAAACTGTAAAGTTTGGTGTGAGTGTAGATTTTCAATTCCATGCACAAAAAAACTCTAACAAAAAGAAATACTAATATTATTTGGGTGCTTTCTCTTGTAAGAAAAAAAAAACAAAACAAAAAAGACCAAAAATCTCAAAATTAACAGGTGTAAGTGAAAGACTTCATGGTTTGGCATAGATTCCACTAGTTTACAAAAAGATCCGACTCACCTGAACAATTCATTTGCGAATCGCGAATCACTAACTCATTGCAGCCCTTCGTTGTGGTCGGAATGGATGGTACACGACATGTGCCACTAATACAGATTATTTACCTCTAATGTGTTCAGTGTTTTGTTAAATATATATATAAAGTGAGACCTTTTAAAGGTTGTGTCTTTTGGCAGAATGGTGTTTTACTTTACAAGCGCCGGTGAGTAGTGAACTGACTTCATGTTTTGCTCAGGCAATGCAGTGTTTATGCTGTCAACAAAGACAGTGTGAAAATGAAGTATATTAGTAATGTAACTTATTAAAGTAAGTGCAGTAATGCATAGCAATTTATTAAAGATGATAAAATAGTTGCATAAAGTATATTTACATTTTGAATAATGTTGTGTTCAGTTTGTGATCAGCAAGAATACTAAGTGTAAACATTGTTTGCTTATCTTTTACAGTTGTCTCACCGCCCCATACTATCTACATGGGCAAAGATAAATATGAAAGTAAGTGCTTATTTTATCATAAATATTACTTTAAAAGCACACTCATCGTGTTCCTGTCAGGCCATTGATAAATATATTGTTTTCCGACAGACGAAGATCTCATCAAATATGGATGGCCAGAAGATATCTGGTGAGAAGAAATGTTATTTTTTTTGTATTATTAAAATAATAAAAATATTATTCTCTATTATTATTATTTTTAATATTATTTATCGTATTTTTCTCTTTCTAAAGTATCAGCTCAAATGTAATAAAAGTTTCTGTGATTTCCAGGTTTCACGTAGACAAGCTCTCATCTGCTCATGTATATCTAAGAATGCCTAAGGTATTATGAGAAGTGAAAGTTGGTACAAAACAGTTGTATTATACAATATTGTATATTTACACAATTTGTATTGCCATCGGTTAAAGGGTACAACTATAGATGACATTCCAAAGGAAGTCCTGATCGACTGTGTCCAGCTGGTCAAAAACAACAGCATTCAAGGTAACTTACTGCATTTTTACCTTGATTGTAAACTAAAGAGCTTTTGTCACTTCTCATGCATTATTTTGTTTCATGTTTAAAACTGTGTATGATTTATCCAGGAATTAACAATTAATTCTTGATTTTCAGTTTTTTTCCAGTATCAATATTTATATTTTGGTTAAATTCCTAATACTTCTTTCACCGAGACTCTTTATTTAAGTAATTAATAAGCAGACTGGTTGTAAAATAAGTTCCTTTTTCTGTTGTATTGAAATGCATTTACAGTTATTTAAAGTTTTTGTTTGGCACTATGAATTTTGCATAATAATTTAGGGTTGTGTTTAGTTATATATATATATATATATATATATATATATATATATATATATATATATAACAAAAATGCATCATAATACATGCATATAATACATTTTTACAGGCTGCAAAATGAACAATATTAATATTGTCTACACACCATGGAGCAATCTGAAGAAAACAGCAGACATGGATATCGGTCAGATAGGATTTCATCGGCAGAAAGAGGTATGATTATGTTTTGATAATACTTTGCACTATGATTTTATTCACACTGCAGACAGTTCCAATCCATATCTTAAAGTAGTGTGTCAGAAAAAACAGCGGGGCAAATGTTTTTTGAACACGTCACCATTTTTGTCAGAAAACATATTTCTAAAGGTGCTGTTAACTAACTACACCAGATGTTGATAACAACCAAAGAAATCAATATATGCAAAGAAAACTAAGCTAATTAGTTTACAAACTAATGCGTAATAAAATGAAATGACACAGGGAAAAAGTATTGAACACATGAAGAAAAGGAGGTGTAGAAAGGCAGTGAAAGCCCAAACAGCAACTGAAATTTCTCAGTAGTTATTGAGCAACCCTCTGCCCTTTGTCATTGTAAATTAATATTCGCTGCTTCAGTTCAACATCTACATTACCAGCATGATGAAGATGAAACCAGGGTGGACATTTCAGCAAGACAATGATCCCAAACACAGCCAAGCAAACTCTCAAATGGTTTCAGAGAAAGAAAATCAAGCTGTAGAATGGCCCAGCCAATCACCTGACTCGACTTCAATAGAAAACACGAAATAAAGCTCAGATTTGATAGACGAGACCCACAGAAAAATCAAGATTGTCACACTCTGTCGAAGTCTGTGAAAAAAACTTACACCTGAGCTATTCATGTGACTTCATTCTCCATATGATAGGCGTCTTTAAGCTGCCATCACCAAAAAAGCCTTTTATATAAAGTATGAAATACATTTCAGTCGTTCACTATTTTCTTCTTGTGTCATTTCATTGTTATTACACAAAAACTCTTTTTCAGATTTATTTTTTCTTTTCTTTTTTTTCTTTTTTATGTTTGTATTGTTTGGGTTTTTACCAAAATCTGGTTTAATTCCATGTCAACAGCTCCCTTAGAAATAGCATTCCCTGAGAAAAACATGACGCGTTCAATACTTACTTTCCCCGCTGTATGCTCCAAAAATTTACTGAATGTCTGAACCAAGTTTGTGATTTTGATGTTCTCCTGCATTATTGTTGTACTTTTAAATGATCAACAGGTGAAAATTGTAGCAGTTGAAAAGAAAATCAACGAAATCGTCAACAGACTAGAGAAAACAAAAGAGGAACGGTATCCAGACCTTGCTGCTGAGAAAGAATCCCGAGACAGAGAGGAAAGAAATGAGAAGAAGGCTCAAATACAAGAGCAGAAGAAGAAGGAGAAGGAGGAAGTGAAGAAGAAAAAAGAGATGGAAGATTTAAAGTGAGGCACAAAATGTTGATTTATGTATTTACTATTTAATAGTTGAAACAAAATAGTAGACAAAAACGAACATTCTGTCATCATTAACTCACCATTCACTTGCTCTGACCATTTGGAGTTTCATTCTTCTGTTGAACACAAGAAGATATTTTGAAGAAAACAGAAAACCTGTAACCATTGACTTTCATTGTATTTGTTTTCCTACTATGGAAGTCAATGGTTACAGGTTTTCAGCTTTTCTTCAAAATATCTTCTTTTGTGTGCAACAGAGGAATGAAACTCATAACGGTTTAAAACCTTATGTGGGAGAATAAATGGTGAGGTAATTTTCATTTTTGTGTGAACTATCCTTTTAAACAAAGAAAACGCTGTCATTCTGAATGTTTAGACCACTAGTGAAATGCTTTATATATTTTATTATTTTTATTTAGTTTTGATTTTAATTTTTTGATTTTAATTGATTTTAACACACTGCATTTAAAAGGTTGACATCTCCAATCAGATATTTTTAAATTAAAATATTTATTTATTTAAAAAAAAGAAAATGCACACCATTTGGGAAAAACTTTAGGTTTGCATTTTCTAAATCAATTCAGTAATCTTTATAATAAATTATAACATTTGCACACCAATTTGAGAGCATTTATACTTTACATAAAAGTATATTTCTTCCCAAAAATGATAATTTACTCTCTATTTGTTCTCCATCAAGTGGTTTTAAACCTTTGTGAGTTTATTTTCTCTGTTGAACACAAAAAAAGATATCTTTGAACCATGATATAAACCATTAGGCATTGACTTCCATAGTAGAATGAGTCAATGGTTGCAGGTTTCCAGCATTCTTCAGAATATCTTCTTTTGTGTTTAACAGAGGAAATAAACTCATAAAGGTTTAAAACCTCATGAAGGAGAATAAATGGTGAGCTAAGTTTCATTTTTGTGTGAACTATCCTTTTAAACAAAGACAACACTGCCATGCTAAATATTTAGACCATTAGTGAAATGCTTTATATATTTAATTATTTTTATTTAGTTATGATTTTAATTTTGAAATACACACTGCCTTGCCTTTAAAAGGTTGACATCTCTAATCAGATATTTTTTTAAATCTCTAATCAAATATAAAAAAAAAATAGAAAATGCACACCATTAGTGAAATACTTTTAGTTTGCATTTTCTAAATCAATTGAATAATTTTTATAATAAATTATTTCATTTGCATAATCATTTGTGAGCATTTACGCTTTACCTAAAGGGATATTTCTTTCAAAAAATGAAACTTTCACTATTTACTGTCCATCAAGTGATTTTAAACCTGATTGAGTTTCTTTCTTCTGTTGAACACAAAAGGAGCTATTTTTGAACAATGTTAGAAACCATTAAGCATTGACTTCCATAGTAGGACAAGTCAATGGTTACAGGTTTCCAACATTCTTCAAAATATCTTGTTTTTTGTGTTCAACAGAAGAAAGAAACTCAAGCAGGTTTAAAAACACTTAATGGATAATAAATTTGAGTAATAAATTTGAGTAAACATTGACAGAACCTTTGGGTGAACTAGCCCTTTAAAATGGCACTTTAGCTTTCCAAGTTTGTGTATTTTTTATATCAGTGTGTCCAAGGGTCTTAAAAAGTATTATAATGTCTTAAATTTCAAAAACATAGTTTTAGGCCTTAAAAAAAATCCTAAATTCATTTAAATATGGTGTTGTGGGTCTTGACATTTTTTTAACAGGTATTAATTTTTCTAAAATATTTTTTTAAAAAGCTATCCTATTGGTACAACATACAATCCATCTACATGTGGCCAAGAAATAAATAATTAGTACAAGAATTAGAATAAAAATCATATTCATTAGCCATTTAAAAAAATCCTCAGCGTTTTGCCCTTTATAAGTCTGAAAGTGAGTTCTTCATGGTCTTAAAAGTCTTAAATTTGACTTGTTGAAATCTGCAGAAACGCTGTGTATAGACTCAGTATTTTGTGCTCCTCTACAAAAATCCTTCATACACCAGCATCAGCTCTTTTGAAACCTGCTAATTACAAGCACATACACATACTCATTAAGTGCCCTTAACATGTAATGTCTACTTTCCTATAGGAATTATACATCGCTCATGAAGAGTGACAACATGACCACAAATGAGGTATTTCATCATGATTGCCTAATATTGTGCAGTGCATTCATAACACACACATTTATATTTTATGTTATAACATGATCGTTTTCTCTGCAGGATGGCTATGATTCTGATGATTTCATGTAAAGTTAAAGGAATGAATTGAGCTGCAATGAAAAACCAGCATCTTTTCCCACAGCATCTCCAAAAGACATCATGGGCATCATAAATGAGCGATTAATCAGAAACCGCATTTGTGCCAAGAAAGCACAACACCAGGACAGTTCAAGAGCAGCTGGCTTGTTATTCCTTTCAAATGCACATGCAATATGTAAAGTATGTAAAAAATAATACTCTAAAAATAAGTAGATTGCTCTTCTACACCGGATTTAGCTGATTCAGTATGTGAAGGAGTTTTGTTGTGAATTAAAGATGTTCACTTTGGAGATGTGTTCATGGATATTTATGCAAAGACTTATCTGGGGTATTTGTGCTTATTAAACAATACCGTTCCGTCTGGAGTGAAAGCATTTATTGTCAAACCTTTATCTTTTTTTGATGTCCAAAAATGAATAAACTTTCGACTTTCTAAGTTCATTTCTGTTATGAAATTTTTAAATTATATTAATATTTCTCTCTGGGATATTCATGGATAAGCATGGCCGCTGGATGAGGGCATTATTACATTATTATATGGGGCATTCTACCAGAAACGCACATTTTCACTCATAAGAAAGGTGACAGGGTCTGACTTAAGCTTGTCGTCTTCAAAAAAAAAGCACACAAAATTCAGCATAAAATCATACAATTCAACAACAGAACGCATCCTTGATCACTCTCAGATTCTCCATCAAATGATTTCACTTTTAAATAATACCTTTAAAGATTGCACGCATTTAATGCTAAATTTGATGCAAACGTGACAGAATTGACAGAAACACGGAGGTAAATGTATTTGTATTACATGTTTGTAGTATTTATTTGTAGAACTTATTTATAATTTAATGTTTTTAATCAATTGATGTTAATGATATTAACCTAAACGTGCTATTTCTGAAGTTTTGTTTATTATTCCCCCCCCCCAAAATTTCTATTATTACAAGCTATTTCTGATTAACAGTTTTTAGCATAACAGAAAAAGTTGTAGGTTCAATCGGGCTAAGGAAGGGGACAATGACAGGGTTTGTAGCTACATTTGTCAATTGTTTTTTGAACAAAAATCTGAGAATCAAGTGACAAATAATTTACAGAACAACTCACCATTTCAACCATTTGAGAATTTCTTTTAGGATGAAATAATTTTTTATTCACTGAATTGATGTTTATATGTCAGGGACAGATAATGTACGTTTCTGGTAGAATGTCCCATGTGTAAATGTTAAAAATATAAAGGGACTGAAAACAATATCATATAATTTTCAATAAAATCTTTACATTCTCTTCAATCGATTTGTTGAAATAAAAAAGCTCATCCAAATGATAGTTCCTACAATGATTTGCTGTTAAACTTCTCACCTGAGTCATCAAAAATGTGGCTATTTATTTCTATAGAACATTAAAAAAGATTTTTAGCTTATCACCTGTGTTTGCATTATTTAATTATATGACGCAAATATGTCATGCAAAAAAAAGATGATTGTTTATTTACAATATTACTTGAAGATAATTAAAATAAGAGCTAATTTTCTGTACCAAGTCAATGGCACTGGGAAAAGGCGATAATATCCACACGATGGCAGTATTTTGCCGCATATATTTATTTTAAATTCGTTCTCATGACTAAATTTAATTTACGAATATTAAATGTCTGAATAGCCATTCATTTCTTTTCAATCAATGGTCAGTAAAGAGGTGCAACCAGAAACAAGTGGACTTATACAATAAATATAATATTTTAGGGATTATTTTACCAGCGTAAATATGTACCACGAATTTTGTAGCATGTGTCAAAATTACGTTCTAAATACATCATAAAGTTCATTTAGTTTGAAATATGTCCGTGATCTCCCATATTCTAGCAAGAAAACTGTCAATTTACCCTTAATCACACTTTATAATATTTAAAGAGATAGTTCGCCCAACAATATATATACATATACAGGGATTTTTAAGATATTTAATATTTAAGAATTTTAAATTAATATTAAATATTACAAAATTATTAGTACTGATTTAAGAAATCAATACCATTAATAATGAATCAGTGATAACTCATTAAGAAAAAAACTAAAAAATATATATTTTTGCAAAATTGTTGCAAACAATTTATATAGGTTGATTTCAAACAAACAAATTAAATTTAGTAATGTTTAACAAATTACAAATTTTAGTGGATTGAACATAAAACAATTAGGTTGTCCCAGAAAACCCTCAAGAATTGTGTTGTTTCAGCTCATTTTAAGAAAGTAACTTGAACAAGCAGCAAACAATTTCTTTGAGTGTAGAAAGGATCTGCACTTCTATTTAAGGATTAATCCTTTTTTTAAAAAAAAAGTTTTATTTATACATTGTAAAACACATCACAAAAAACAAACAAAATAAAGGATAACAAAAACATGTAAGCAAATTCACTGAAGAGTATTTAGGAAAAAAATACCAAAAATACAGGTCTACAATGTGCTGATCACAACTAGTATCCAGTACAAAGCTGGGAGTCGAGGCAGGAACTCAATTAGAAAGAATAGAGGCAAGCTGAAGAGTTTGGACATGTTTGTGAAGGGGTTCCCACAATTGAATGAAAATAGTGCTTGGTCGGTGAAAAAAGTACCTAATTTTCTATAAAGATAACATTTCTTATCCAACAAGTGTGAGAAGAAGGGTGAGGGATCTTCCATTTATTTATTCATTCATTCATTTATTTTCTTTTCAGCATAGTTTCTTTATTATAATCTGGGATCGCCACAGCGGAATGAACTGCCAGCTTATCTAGTATCTCTGGGCAAAGGGATCTTCCAGCTCAGAAGAATTAACCGCCTAGTCAGAAGGGTTTTAGAAGGCTACAAAATCTGCAAAACAAGAGGGTATAAAGTGTGGCCAGGTGGGAGACCCCCCTATTGGATCAATGTGGGCTACAATAGATCTTCTGCAGTATTTGTAATGATTGAGATGTAGTTCAACAGATGATTCATTGGTTAAATCTACCTTTTGCCACTTTTCCAAATGATCAACTATCCAATTCATGTTTATTCATGTAGCACTTTTCACAATGTAGATTGTGTCAAAGCAGCTTAACATAGTTCTAGTAATGACCAGATTTCAGAGTTGAAGTTCAGTTTAGTGCAGTTCAGTGTGGTTTAAGTTTCACTGCTGAAAGTTCAAAAACAGCAGAGCAAATCCACTGAAGCGCAGCTCCACAAGTCCCAATCCGAGCAAGCCAGTGGTGACAGTGGCGAGAAAGAAAAAAAAAAAACTTCACCAATTGACGAAGTGAAGGGAAAAATACTTGAGAGAAATCAGGCTCAGTTGGGCACAACCATTATTCTTCTGGCCAAATTTCCTGTGTGGAGCTGCAGTCTAGGCGCCGGAGGCTGGAGAAGCTGCAGGTGTGACTAGGGCACCGGTGGCAGGTCAGGCTGGCCCACAAGATCAATGCTGGGACTAGTCTGTCACTGTGGTCTTTCAGGAATCAGTCTCATGCACTCCATTCCTCTATGACCACCACAACATCAGCTCGGGATTTGGCCTGGTTTAGGATTATGGATACCTTGGGATCATCTCTTCACAGGTCTTAGATTGCATCAACAGCGCTGCATAGTCTCTAGGGCAGGGGTGTCAAACTCAATTCCTGGAGGGCCGAAGCCCTGCACAGTTTAGTTCCAACCCTGCTCCAACACACTTACCTGTAGGTTTCAAACAAGCCTGAAGGACTCAATTAGTTTGATCAGGTGTGTTTAATTGGAACTAAACTGTGCAGAGCTGCGGCCCTTTTGGAACTGAGTTTGACACCTGTGCTCTAGGGACCTCGGAATGAGTATTCCCATGGGGAAATAGAGAATATAGAAAATTATTAGCGTAGCTGCTGTTCAGTGTATTTAAATGAGATGCAAAAATAGAGTGTTATAAATTAAAATAGCAGTTATCTAAAAAAAATAGAAACAAACACGAAAAGCATATGGGAGTTTCAAATACAATGTCTGGTGCATTAAGACAAGAGGAGTGTGTCCTACAGGTGGTTATCAAGCCAGCTCCCCTGCGTGGAGCATGTTCTTGCATCATACCGTTATGTGATGCATTGTGTGTATGCTTTTTACTAAAAAGGTAGGTCTTTAATCAGGTTTTGAACTGAGAGACTGTGTCTGAGCAACAGACATTATCAGGAAGGCTGTTCCAGAGTTTAGGAGCCATAAATGAGAAGGCTTGACCTCTTTCACTCGGCTTTGCTATTCTAGGTACTACCAGAAGCCCTGAGTTTTAAAGAGCGGGTTGGATTGTAGTGAGACAGAAGGTTGGTTAGATAAACAGGAGTTAGATTATTTAAAGCTTTATAGGTGAGAAGTAATAGTTTATAATCGATACAGAACTAAGTCAAGTTATTTTTTGTTGCTCTTACAACTGGAATCGACAACAAGACTTTTGTCAGGAAGTGTAAGCTGTGTATAACTGAAATTTGTCAATCTGCACAGACATATTGCCCTGATATAACTATTGTTCAGTCCAATAAAGACATATTTATTAATAGCAGAAATTATGTTTCTCTATTACTAAGTGCACTTGTAAATGACATTGATGTAGTAACTAGCAGATAAGCAAAGATTAGATATATGTGAAAAAGGCATAAGGGAATATCATTTTAAAAATATGATGGAAAGTTTAAGCGAAGGTCAAGGAAGATCATTTTGTATTTATAGTTCATAACTACTATGGATTAAGGGTTAGTTTCATTTATTATATATGATTCATTGTAATTTCTAAACACACTAAGAAATGCTGGGTTATTTAAAACCAAACATTGGGTTACATTTGGTCCTATACATTTAATAAAAAAATAGCCCAGCAGTTGGTTTAGTGCATAATATACCCAGAATTGGTGTAGTAAGTACATGGAGCGTATAACTATAGAACTTCTAAAAATAATTACTTAAAACTAACGATTAAAGTAACTATTCAGAAAGAGCAGTTCTAAAACATTTCTCAGTATAAATGCTCTTTTTAATATGTCTGTGGTTAAATGGATCACAATCGTAATTCCAAGTCATGATAAATCATCATTTATGTGGTCAGAACTCAGTGAGTAAATGCTGATATTAACTGTGTTCAGATCACACTGTGTGCAGAACTAAACACTTTCAGATCAACCACAGTTTAAAGACATTTTTCCATTAATTATTGATGAGAGACAAATATGACAAACTCAAATAAGTTCATTTCCTTAGCTTTCCCGTTTTAGTCTAAATTCGCAGAATTGAGGAAGGATACAACAGGAAGCTCTACCCCTGCAGGCCACCACAGTTTCCCCCCTATGTGTGTGATGTCACTTGTTCCTTATTGGATGGAACCTATAGTTTGTGGAAAAAAAGTACAGACTAGTTCTTTTATTAAGCAGACCGTATCAGTGAGGTGAGTTTCTTCAGCCAGTCAGCCATCGATAAAGCCAACAGTGCATCAAGATCTGCTCATCGACTGACAACAAACCTAAACATGAGGAGGTCATGCATCTTCATCGCCTCTCTGGTGCTTGTCGCTTTCTGCTCAGTTGTTGGAAGTGATTGTACGTCCTTTTTTTATTTCTGCTTTTTTTGTAAGCAAGCAATAGACTATGTACTCTTTTTCCTAAAAATGTATTTCATAGATTGATTTGTATTAGGAATTGATTTCTTTTTCTGCAGGGTCCCAATGTAAGTGCTGCTTTTCCTTTTCCAATGCAAGACTTCCAGTACAGCAGGTTGAGAGTTGTCATACTACAAATCTTCTGTGCAACATGAATGGTGTTATACAAGTATTTTTTGACAGTTTCTATCAATTTAAAGTATTGTGATATGGTTTTAACACTAAGTATTTTTTTAATTTTCATTTTTCTGTAATATATTACATTTTTTTGTTTTGTTTTGTGAAATAATGAAAAATATTTTCCTTTGAAAATGCTAAATTTATGTATATTTGTTATAGATAATGTATTTTATACATTAACTTGCAGGTATATTAACAAAAGTTTTACATTTATTTTTCTGCAGGGTCACAGGGTCCTGAAAAGTGCTGCTTTTCTTTTACCAATGCAAGAATTCCATTAAAGCAGATTGAGAGTTATTATACTACGCATCTTCAGTGCAACATGAATGCTGTTATGTAAGTATTTTTGACAGTTTCTTTACATTTAAAGGGTTGTGATTTGGTTTTGTGAAATAAAGAAAAATCTTTTCTTTTGAAAATGCAGTTTCATCATAAGGGCTCAAAGGGAGATCTGCACTAATCCAACTGAGAAATGGGTTCGGAGACTGATGAAGATGGTGGACAATCAAAACATGAAGCAGATGACAGAGGCTGGCTCTGTGGACAGCGCCTAAGATGAGAACGCTCTTCTTTTTTCTGAATATTGCACTGAATCGTTTCTCAACTGTGTTTAAGCTTTACTTTTATAAGCACCTGACTATACTGTTACTCTGCTTTGATTATTGTATATCTATATATTTTTGCAAATTATATTCATGCTAGAACTGTAATGTGAATCTGTCTGTATTGTTACATAACTATATGAAAATAAACAACAGGCAGAGCATTTGGATTTTGGTCTGTTTTTTTTGTGTTAGTTTAGTGCATTAAATAATGTTAACAGTTTTACTTTTAATACTATATTAGCAAATATTGAGTTAACTAATTAAATGATTTTGCAGTGTTTGCGATAATAATGCCAACAGGAACATTGATACAGCGAATAATGTCCTTAATATTAATCTTTAATAGTTAACTATGCAGAAAATATTTAATAGTTAACTATGCAGATCTCTCACACACCCCATAGCCAGTGTATGGGGATGATTAAGAGGCCATAATGAATAATGGCCAATGAAGGGAATTTGGTCAGGAAACCAGGATTATGCCCTACTCTACGGTAAAGTGCCGTAGGATGTTTAACGACAACAATGACTCAGGACCTCTGTTAAACATCTCATAAAGACTGTGCTCACTGACAATAACCTCCCTAATACTGGGGTATTAGGACTCAGGCTACAGGTTGAGCACCAGTGATGTTGCTGGCCTTACTAACACCTCTTCCAAGAACAAGTTTTCCCATGTGGTCTCTCATCCAGATACTGATTAGGCACAGACCTGCTTAGCTTCAGTTAGCAACCAGTATTGGGCTGTAGGGTGATGGCTGTGGCATTTGTAAAGATCATGTTGGAGGCCAGAAGCCATTGACTTCCATAGCATTTTTATTTCCTATTATGTATATCAATGGCTACAGATTTTTAATATTATCCAAAAAAGAAAGAAAGAAATTGACTCTGTCTTAACTGTACTGACAGACCACTTCCTCCTAAAGAGCGAGCACTTGTTGCAATACAAACAGACACATAAAAAAAGGATTTACTCTGTGAAGGCGGCGTCTCCTGACCAAGGCTGAGATGGAAAATCTGACCTTGGGCTGCCACCTCAGATGTCCTTCACTGGCGGGATGTTTCTCTTCTGTTTATAGGAAAGATTCAGTCACATCCTTTTCAGGCCAGTGCGCTGCACTATTACAACACAAACCTTTTCAGAGACACGTTTACAAAGCGAGTCACTAATTAAAGCAACTTTGTCAAAATGATTCAATCATGCCATCACATTTTATTGCTAACAATGTTTTGAATTCACTTTTATATCAAGTCAGATTTTTATGTAGTAGAAATGTATTGGCCCATCTGTAATTCAGAACACTAGTATTAAGGTTAGAAAAGGTTTAAGCAAATTACAAGAGTGGTCATACACTCAAGAAATATTTTGACCGCTTGTTCAAACTACTTATTTAAAATGAGCTGAAACAACTCAATTCTTAAAGTTTTTTAGGAGACAACTTAATTCTTTCATGTTCAACCCACTTAACTTTATCGAATTGTGTTAGGATATCATGAAGTAATTGTGTGGAACACAGCCTTTTTTACAGTGTAGTGAGCTGTTTGGCTTAGTCCTTTTATTAATCTAGGGGTCACCACAGCGGAATGAACCGTCAACTTATCCAGCACATGTTTTATGCAGCAGATGCCCTTCCAGCTGCAACCGATCTTTAGGAAACAACCATACACACTCATTCCCACTCATACACTACAAACTATTTAGTCCAATTCACCTAGTCTTTGGACTGTGGGGGAAACCGGAGCACTTGGAGGAAACCCACGCGAACGCAGGGAGAACATGCAAACTCCACACAGAAACGCCAACTGACCCAGCCAAGACTCAAACCAGCAAACTTCTTGTTAAAACTGAGCCTAGAGAGAGATCTGCTGTTGAAAACTAGCTCATTCCCAGGTAGCAGAGGATTCTGGACTAGATTTGGCATAAAGCTGGTATATACAGCAGGCTTTCATTCAGCACTGGCATACAGCATGTGGGCCAAACATGCCCTGGGCCGGATGTAAAAAACTGATATGTGAGCCACGTAAGTTTGGAGTAAAGAAAAAAAGATTCTACCAATCAGTTTGCTTTGAGAAAAAGCACACCCATAGTGTGCCTAAAGAGCAATGCTTCATGGGTTTATCAATTTCTTTGCAATCATGACACGTCAACATGGCCCAGTTATGAGTTATTAACTTGGCTGAGACTTGACTTAGATATGGTCCCTGTTTGGCTCTTGTCTGGAAGCCAGACTTGGTCCTCTCATGTATTCATGTAATTCACTGTGGCATTTGGGCCAAGCAAAACCTGATTGTGTGGGCCAGAGCTGAGCCAGAGAAAAAAGAGAACAATGATGCAGTTTTAAAACCTCAGAATCAATGCAAAATTGATTTCTCAAATGATTTCTAGAAGCTCTAGTGCTATTGATGCTCCCTGAGGTGTAAGACGCACCTTTAGAGATTTGCTTATTACACTTATGACGCATGATGTCTCCTTTAATATCGATGGTACTCATATTATTATTTATAGTAGGCAAAACATTCCTTATAACACTAGAATGTTCCTTAAACACTATTAATAAAGCAGCTCCTTTAAGAACTCGTACCTGAAAAGTTCTCTAGGGGACCAAAAGTGCTTCCTCTATGACATCATTGATTATTTAATTATGCAGGATTTCTTTTGGACTATCAGACCACACTGCATGGCTGAAGTTAGCGTCAACAAAGCAGAGAAAATTTCCTGAAATCTTAACAAACCCTGATTTGGTCCAGTCATTAGCTCGGACCTCCGCCGGGTGGACTGGGGGTCTTGCCACACATAAACTGTCTGCTCCATTAACCTCATGTTTAGATGAAGAAAGTCTCTTAAGACGGCACAAGGCACAAATCAAACCCTGTCAGCTATAGACACACACGCGCACAAAAACAAACACCCACAGTTCGTTTTTTGAGGAATTGGGTTTTGTAATCAGGTTCAGAAAATGTTTTAAATCTTTTTCAAATATTTTCCAAGTGCTGTTTAATGGAGATATTTTAAACAGCATTTAAAACACAATTTAAATCAAATTAGTTTTATTAATTATTTCTTTTTGTCTTTGCAGTGATTAAAGTAAATAATATTTTACTAGATTTTTTTCCAGGAACTAGTATTCAGCTTCAATTCAATTCAAAGCCTTATGTAAGTTTATTAGAGGCACGTTAGGGTTATTTGGCAAGTTATTGGACAACAATGATATGTCTGTAGCCAATCAAAATAAGACAAAAATAATATTGACCTTATAAATTTAATTGATTTTTTATTTAAAACTTCTTTTGTTCCAGCCAAACTAAAAGAAATAAGGTGCATTTTGGTGCATCTGTCTTTTAAATTATGCAAGAATATTTTTATTTTAATTAAAATACAGCAGGAGACAAATAAATAATTAATAAATTCAGTAGTTTCCCATGATTCAAAGTTGCTTTTATACCTTTCTTTTCACATTTAACCTGCAGTACGTCCTTTTCATTTTTCCAAATTTGTTTCAAAATTTGAAGGGAGCCTATTATGCAAAAGACACTTTTATAAGAGGATTAAACACAATTGTGCGGCAACAGTGTATGAATATACCCAGCCTCTAACGGTGAAAATGTGTTAATTCTGTTTTTTATGATCACACTTGACAAAAACAGTCTGCAGAAACACTTTCATTGACATTCTCCTTTTATAAATGCCATCAGAGGGGGGAAAGTCCTATCCATTAGCCTCTCCCTAAGTAGTATAGACAGCCCTGATTAAGAAGCAGCTGTCCACCATAATATTTTTCACATCCTTCCTGCCAAATGTCAGCATCTAATAGGCATTTAAAAAAAATCTTTGAGCACAATCTTTAAGCACAATCTCATTCATGCAATAATTTCCTTCGGCTTATTTCCTGATTTATCAGTTGCTGCCACAGCAAAAGGAACTGCTAAGTCACATTACAGAAATTTACCATAAAATAATGGCTGTTAAATTACAGAATTTGCAGTAAAATAATGGACATTGAATTACAGAAATTTACTTTAAAATAATGGATGTTAAAGTACAGAAATTTACCATAAAATAATGACTGTTAAATTACAGAAACTTACCGTAAAATAACAAGATGTTAAATTACATAAATTTACCATAAAGTAATGGCTGTTAAATTACCGAAATTTACCACAAAATAACGAACGTTAAAGTACAGAAATTTATTGTAAAATAACAGCCACTAAATTAAAGAAAGTTACTGTAAAATAATACGTTAAATTATAGAAATTTACTGTAAAAATAAAAGCCGTTAAATTACAGAAATTTACCATAAAATAACACCTGTAAATTACAGAAATTTACCATAAAATTACGGACTTTAAATTCCAGTAATTTACCATAAAATAACACCTGTTAATTACAGAAGTTTACCCTAAAATAACAAGATGTTAAACTACAGAAATTAATCATAAAGTATTGGCTGTTAAATGAAAGAAATCTACAGTAAAATAATGGCCGTTAAATTACAAAAATTTGCCATAAAATAACGGACTTTAAATGACAGAAATGTCCTTAAATTTAAGTTTCCGGTAAATTTCTAAATTAAAACAATAAAATAACAGATTTTTTTTTTTTACAGTGCAGTACTGGGAAACACCCATCCACTCATTCAAACACACTCATACACTACAGCCAGTTTAGTTCATCCAATTCATCTATAGCGCATGTATTTGGATTGTGGGGGAAACCAGAGCATATGGAGGAAGCCCATGCTAACACGGGGACACCTTGCAATCTCTACACAGAAATGCCAACTTGCCTGAAATGAGCAGTTTGATTTGTGGGGCATTCTAAGCTGAAACTTCACATATACAATCTACAGATAAATGAGACTTATTTTACATATAAAAGGCCCATAATAGATCACCTTTGAAATTGCTTAAAATATGTTTAGTCCAGAAGAAGCAGCAATCTATCGCTCTTCACTTTTGAGCATCAAGGTTCTTGATT